TTGTGGATTCAAGCTGTTCTGCAAGGTTGAGCTTCTCAGAAAGCAGAAATTTGTCCACTTTAGTATACAAATGGGAAATGCCCACGTGTATATATGTTGCTATGGTTTGGACATGATTTGTCCCCCAGAGGTTCATGGGCTGGAAGGTTGGTCCCCAATGATGAGAGGTAGTGCATCTTTAACAGGTATGTGTGTTGTGGGTGGGTAATAACAGTGGAAGGTGAAGGTCATGGGATTGATGCTGTCTCCAGAGTTCTAGCTCTCCTAGGATTAGATTAGTACTTGTGAGACTGTTTGTTATAAAGTGAGTTTGGCTTTTTCAGCTCATTCTCTTGCTACTTGTCTCTTGCTTCCCCTCTCTGCATATATGCTGCTCCCACTTATGCAATGTTGAGAGCCACAGCCGGAGGGGCCCCAGCAAACTTCCAGCTGCCAGCTGATGATTGGCTCACAGCAGCCCCAGCAACTTCTAGCTGCCAACTGATTGGCTCCTCTGCGGTGATGCTCATTGGGCTGTTTCCCCGCCCTTTCAGACCATGGAGCTGCTCATTGGGGGACTTTTTTTCGCTCCGACTATGCGACCCAGCCAGTCGGCCTCAAGAGCAGGAGTGGGGGAGGTTGAGAGGCTTGTGGGAAGCTGGTGGTGGCAGTTGGGCTCTGAAGGTTTTCCTGAGGAGCTGTTTTGTTTGGCGTGTGTGGTTCTAAAAATAAAGTTTGTTTCTTTTGACAAGTGGCTCCTGAATTGTGCCCAGCCAGACTGCGGCAATGCAAGCTGATCCAGTATTTAGTGAAATGGCCAGAGGGCTTTGCCAGATGCTGATACCATGTTGTTTGTTCTTTGCGTTTACCAGAATCATAAGACAAAAACTTTTCCTCATGAAGTACTTGGTTTTAGGTACTGTATTATAGCAACACAAAATGGGCAAATAAGCTTTTGTAAATAAGTATTTTTAAATGGATAATTAAACACTTTAAATGGATTTTTAACATAAGTATACAATTTCTTGTTTTCTCAAAGAAGGTAGAACAAAATCTTATTGAATCTTTGGCATTGCTTTGTAATATGTCTTGCCCCAGTAGTTATTGAAGTGGGTGTAGTGAATGAGCACTATAGCTATTTTTTAAAAAAATTATCAACATGCTTTTTTTCAATCATGTTTTTAATGAAAAAAATTTTAAAGGGACATGCCTTAGTTTGTGATCTCTCAAGAGACATGGAACTAAGAATTTGAGTGCAAGAAATTTATTTGGGAAAACAAAGGAAGTAGGGAATGAAGACAAGAGATGGGAGCAAAGGTTCTGTTACCAAGAGCAGCACTGCATGGTCAACTGGAGCTTAACTCTTCTTGGTGACTTTGGGAAACAGTATGTAAATCGCTTAGAATTGTTTCACTTAGTGGATAGGAAAATATGCTATTTGCATGCCATGCTTCATCAGCTTTGATTCAGGTCTTCTCTTGGGGAGTTGTTGATACCTCCAGAAAATGGGTGTTTCACTACTATAACAAATACCTGAGATTATCAACTTAGAAGGAGGAAAAATTTATTTTGGTTCACAATTCTGGAGGTCCCAGTCCAGGATCAATTAACCCATTGCTTTGAGACATTGCATCATGGCAGGGAACATAGGGTGGCGCAAAGCCACTCACATCATGGCCAGGAGCGAAAATTGAAGAAGAGTCAAAGTTCCAACACACTCTTCCATAGCATGCCCCCAACAGTCAGAACACTTCCCGCTAGACCCCACCTCTTAAGAATTTCTACCACCTGCCCACAGCACCATGGGCTGGGAACCAAGCTTTCAACATATGGGCTTTCAGTGAACTTTCCAGATTAAAGGTTTAAGAGTGGGCAGGCATGCCTTAGTGGCTAAAGAAAGCCTCTATGAACTTCTTGCGGGACATAATTGTCCCTGACCACTCATGTAATAGAACCCTTTTATCCTCATGTATATCAGGCTTTAATTTTGTTTTTCTTTCCCCTAGAAGAAGAAGCTAAAAAAGACAATGGAGAATAGGTTACTTTAGATTTTATGGGACCCTTATTTTACCTTTTTTGTAGATGGGTTCCTCCCCTTCACAGGGTCCAGATCTATTGGCTCAGCATTGCCAAAATTTGTGGAGATGGAAAGCACAGATTTCCCAAGTGTCTTCCTGACCCACACATTTTGAACATGGACATTATTGGGGCTAACTTCTTACATGAAATTTAAATGCCTTAGTGTAGGGACCATATTTCCGACTTCCCATCATTCTACTTAATATATGATATAGTTCTTAGTTTTTCTTCAGGGAAGGTGGGAGTCTTTTCAGGGAGTTCCAATGTGGTTATTCTCACAATAAAGGACAGGGGCTAGATTTTGCTAGTTATAGGTATAATATTTTGAATAGGCCCTTATGTAACGAAGAAATTTCTACCTGGTAGTCCATAGATCTACTGGATCTACTATGACATGGACTTGGGTTAAGGCTTCACACTTTATTTATTACCTAGCAATTCAGTTATGGTTTGAGGGCTGCTTCCAAGCTATTACTTCTCCAATCTATCCAGCCTGCCATACAGCAGGCTTTGGGGAAAGAAAAATAAAAAAAAAATCCCTCATTTCCAGCATTTGGATTTGCAGTCAGGATTATCTTTACTATTGAAAGAATAAGAGCCAAGGGGATATGCATGAGAGAGAGGGCCATTACCTGCTACTTTTAATTTTCATTTACTTGACTTTATTTTGTTATTTCTTAGCTTACAAATTAAAAGCTAACTCCTTTCTTTTAAAAAATTTATTCTAATTTGTTATTATAACAGAAGAATTTATTTCAATTCAGATTAAATATATATACCACAATTTTTCATATCTTTGGTATGATATGATATGAGTCACACCATTCATGTCTTCATACATGTACTTAGAGTAATGATGTCCATCTTATTCTACTGCCTCCATGTCCCCTTCCCTCCCCTGCCCTATCTAGAGTTCATCTATTCCTCTCATGCCCTCCCATTCCCATTATGAATCAGCATCCTTATATCAGAGAAAACATTCAGCCTTTGGTTTTTTAGGATTGGCTTACTTCACTTAGCATTATATTCTCCAACTCCATCAACTTACCTGCAAATGTCATGATTTTATTCTCATTTAATTCTCTGTAATATTCATATACATATGTTATATATATATAATATTTTCTCTATCCATTCATCTACTGAGGGGCATCTAGGTTGGTTCCACAATTTAGCAATTGTGAATTGTGCTGCTATAAACATTGATGTGGCCGTGTCCCTGTAGTATGCTGTTTTTTTAAGTCCGTTGGGTATATATTGAGGAGTGGTATAGCTGGATCAAAGGTGGTTCCATTCCCAGTTTTCCAAGGAATCTCCATACTGCTTTCCATATAGGCTGCACCAGTTTTCAGTTCCACCAGCAATGTATGAATGAGTGTGTCTTTTCCCCCACATCCTCGCCAACACTTACTGTTGTTTGTATTCTTAATAGCTGCCATTCTGACTGGAACGAGATGAAATCTTTTTTGCCTTTAGTACATTCAATATTTGCCTCAGGCAATAGTTCATCTAAATTCATTTAGTGAAGTATAACTTAGTCTGTTATATTTAAAACATCAAAAAAGATGCCAAATTAGAAAGTAGGGCATTATCAGAACTTTTAAATTGGCCCATGTACTTTTCTAACTTGCTATTAGACTGTCATATTTAGCATTTTTCCCTTAAGATTGGTAAAACATGCCTAAAGGGGTGTTATGCAAGAGATTACATCTTTTGCATTAAGTGGTCCCCTGGGTTGTACTTACTCATGACCAGAAAAAAATAAACTCACTGGCACCAAATACAATTTCGATTTGTATCATTGGTTACAAGAACTTGTGAAAGCCAAAATGAATCTTTGGGTTTATAGACTAGAGAGTAGAGGAATCCTGTACTGCATTTTACTTTTCCTAAAATTAGGAAATGATCTAGCAGCTTAGACTTTTTTGTTTATAATACAAAACTTATTACACTAGGATTTACTTTGTAATATAGTTTACAACCAAATCAATTATGACACACATACACTGGCACTTTAGCATAAGGGCAAACTTTAAAAACAATTCTGGACCTTTAAAATTAGGCCGTAGTATACAAAAACAGTCGATGGTCTTATATTCAGCAAATTCATACCAAAATATTCTATTTTTGTAGGCCAAGAAGACTTTACATATGCTACAAGTTTATTACGTGTATTTACATGGCTCTTCTTCCCAAGGTACTTTGAACTTTCACATTATACAACTCCCCACTTTAAGATTTGCAGGGATATGAGGCCAGATCACTGTCAGAATAGCTTGTGCAGTGCTGTAAAACAAAAAAAAAAAATGTGTTTTTTGAAAGCTATCAAGTGCTCAATACTATTTCTATAAAAAATGGTTGGGTGCATCTATTGGCAAACACCTATCCATTGCAATTTAAGAAACAGGGCACCTTATGTATACTGTGCCTCATTCTAGTAAACCCCAAGTGCTCTTTACACATTCATCACTGTGCAGTTTAGTAAAATACAACTATTAAAAATTCACATTCTATCTTGGCAGTGCATTAAGTTGTTGGTGTGTTACTAGTTTGGCTTTCTGGGATATTAAACTTTCAAATGTCCACCTAGTTTTCAATCCTTGTCTCAGCTAGATGTTTAATCTGATTTACTAACATAAATCTACTTATCCATGAATCTTTTACTATATTCCCCCCATAAAAGTATAAAAAGTTGATTCCTTTACCATTCCCAATATAAACTTGGTTTTCACTTAAAAGCTATTCAATTGAGAACACTATCAAGTACAGTTATTTTAAGTTGCACTGATAACCACCATTACATTACAGTGCACACAATATGTAAGACAAATGAGATGAAATTTGATTGATAGTCTTACATAAATAAGCAGTTTTACACAAATTGGTCAACTCCCTAGTGAATCTGTAATTTGTTTCAGACCAACTGACAACTTTTTGTAAACTAAATTTAAACATTAGTACTTTATATCTTATTTTATACTTGGACTTTAAGTAAGGTTTTAAGTTGAAATGTCATTATTTCCTTGTCTGAAGGATTAAAGTTCACAGGAACCTAGTGGCTTGGTGGTTTAGGAAGAACACTTGGTGATGGTGCCTCACTAAATTTGGCTCCATAATAGTTCTGATTAACTTGAGACTTAAAAAGTAAAGTGGGACTTGATAAGCTAGCATTCCAATTTGGATTACTTGGAAAATTTTTGTTCTTCCCCCCATTTTGCATGGCCTGCTATGCAGCTGCTGATGAGTTATAACCATGTCCTCTTTCTTTTTTTTTTTTATAAACAATTTTCATCTGGGAATTCTGATCCTTAGTCTTCTATTAAGCTTCTGTTGGTTCTTACTACCATTTCTAGATTGAGGGGCTGGAATGTTATACCTCTCTTCACCACCCATCTTCAGCTTCTTTGTCACCTTTCAGTCTGCTTTTCCGATTGCAGGATTTCCACTACCTGTCCTCTTCCTTGCTGCCAAGCCCAAGATAATAGGTGTTGTTTTCGGATGGATCCTTTCCTTTGTCTCAATATAGAAGTTTTCATGGGCCAATCTGCTGAGTTCAGCCTAGGAGCTGAGGCCAACGTCTGAATCTCCTCAGCACACAAGTTTGAGAGAAGTCCTAGCGACTTCAAGCTCGGACTGCACGGCTCCCTCTCGACGTCAAAGCCTCCCCTCCTCCCTTTTCCAGGGAGAGATGAGGCAAGGATCTAACAAAGCCCATGAGCAACGAGGAGTTGGCTGCTGACCACCCTGCGTCTGAGAGCCGACCTCCTCGAGATGAAATCTTAAGAGTAGTTTTGATGTGCATTTCTCTAATTGCTAAAGATGTTCAACATTTTTCATGTATTTGTTGATTGATTGTATATCATCTTATGAGAAGTGTCTGTTCAGTTCCATGGCCCATTTATTGATTGGGCTATTTATTTTTGGGTTATTTATTTTTTGGTGTTAAGATTTGAGTTCTTTATATATCCTAGAGATTAGTGCTCTATCTGATGTGTGTATGGTAAAAATTTGTTCTCATTCTGTAGGTTCTCTATTTACCTCACTGATTGTTTCTTTTGCTGAGAAGAAGCTTTTCAGTTTGAATCCATCCCATTTATTGATTCTTGATATTAATTCTTGCCCTATAGGAGTCTTATTAAGGAAGTCGGGGCCTAATCAACATGATGGAGATTTGGGCCTACTTTTTCTTCTGTTAGGGTTAGAATCTCTGGTTTAATTCCTAGGTCCTTGATCCACTTTGAATTGAGTTTTGTGCATGGTGAGATATAGGGCTTTAATTTCATTTTGTTTGCATGTGGATTTCCAGCTTTCCAAGCACCATTTGTTGAAGAGGCTATCCTTTTTCAATATGTTTTTGGCACCTTTGTCTAATATAAGATAACTGTAATTATTTGGGTTTGTCTCTGTGTCCTCTATTCTGTACCATCGGTCTACAAGTCTATTTTAGTGCCAATACCATGCTGTTTTTGTTACTGTTGCTCTGTAGTATAGTTTAAGGTCTGGTATAGTGATGCCACCTGCTTAATTCTTCTTGCTAAGGATTACTTTAGCTATTCTGGGTCTCCTATTTTTCCAGATGAATTTCATGACTGCTTTTTCTATTTCTATGAGGAATGTCATTGGGATTTTGATTGTAATTACATTAAATCTATATAGTACTTTTGGTAGTATGGTCATTTTGACTATATTAATTCTGCCTATCCAAGAACAAGGTAGATCTTTCCATCTTCTAAGGTCTTCTTTGATTTCTTTCTTTAGTGTTCTATAGTTTTCATTGTAGAGGTCTTTCACCTCTTTCGTTGATTCCCAAGTATTTTTTTTTTTTTTTTTGAGGCTATTGTAAATGGGGTAGTTTTACTGATTTCTCTTTCAGAGGATTTGTCACTGATATACGAAAATGCCTTTGATTTACAGGTGTTGATTTTATATCCTGCTACTTTGCTGAATTCATTTATTAGTTCTAGAAGTTTTCTGGTGGAATTTTTGGGGTCTTGTAGGTAAAAAATCATATCATCAGCAAATAGTGCTAATTTGAGTTCTTCTTTTCCTATCTATATCCCTTTAATTTCTTTCATCTGTCTAATTGCTCTGGCCATTGTTTCAAGAACTATGTTAAATAGAGGTTGTGAAAGAGGGCAACCCTGCCTTGTTCCAGTTTTTAGAGGGAATACTTTCAATTTTTCTCCATTTAGAATGATGTTGGCCTAGGGCTAAGCATAGATAGCTTTTACAATGTTGAGATGTATTCTTGTTATCCCTAGGTTTTTTTTTTTATTGTTTTGAACATTAAAGGGTGCTGTATTTTGTTGAATGCTTTTTCTGCATCTATTGAGATGATCATATGATTCTTATCTTTAAGTATATTGATGTGATGAATTACATTTATTGATTTCTGTATGTTGAACCAAACTTTGAATCCCTGGGATGAAACCCACTTGATCGAGGTGCACTATCTTTTTGTTATGTTTTTGTATTCAATTTGCCAGAATTTTATTGACAATTTTTGTATCTATCTTTATTAGAGATATTAGTCTGAAGTTTGCTTTCTTTGATGTGTCTTTGCCTAGTTTTGGAATCAAGATGATATTGGCCTCATAGAATGAATTTGGAAGTGTATCCTCTTTTTCTATTTCATGAAATAATTTGAAAAGTATTGGTATTAGTTCTTTTTTGAAGGTTTTGTAGAACTCAGCTCTGTATCTATCCAGTCATGGGCTTTTCTTGGTTGGTAGCCTTCTAATGGTGTCTTCTATTTCACAGCTTGAAATTGATCTGTTAAAACTGTGTATATCATATGACTCTAGAAATTTGTCAATGCCTTCAATATTTTCTATTTTATTGGAGTACAAATTTTCAAAATAATTTCTAATTATCTTCTGTATTTCTATAGTGTCTATTGTGATTCTTCCTTTTTTATCACGTATGTTAGTAATTTGAATTTTCTCTCTCCTCTTTATTAGCATGGCTAAGAGTTTATCAATTTTGTTTATTTTTTCAAAGAATCAACTTTTTGTTTTGTCAATTTTTTTCAATTGTTTCTTTTGTTTAATTTCATTGATTTAAGTTCTGATTTTAATCATTTCCTGTCTCCTACTGCTTTTGGTGTTGATTTATTCTTTTTCTAGGGCTTTGAGATGTAATGTTAGGTCATTTATTTGTTGACTTTTTCTTCTTTTAAGGAATGAACTCCATGCAATGAACTTTCATCTTAATACTGCCTTCATAGTGTCCCAAAGATTTCAATATATTGTATCAGTGTTCTCATTTACCTCTAAGAATTTTTTAGTCTCCTCGTTGATGTTTTTTGCAACCCATTCTTAATTTAATAGCATATTATTTAGTCTCCAGATGTTTTATTTTTTTATTTCATCATTGATTTCTGATTTCATTCCATTATGATCTTATAGAATGCAGGGTAGTATCTCTATCTTTTTGTATTTGCTAAGAGTTGCTTTGTGGTACAACATATGGTCTATTTTAGAGAAGGATCCATGTGCTGCTGAGAAGAAAGTGTATTCACTCGTGGATAGATGAAATATTCTATGTGTGTCTGTTAAGTCTAAGTTATTGATTGTATTATTCAGTTCTGTAGCTTTTTTGTTTAGCTTTTGTTTGAAAGATCTATTCCAGTGGTGAAAAAGGTGTGTTAAAATCACCCAGAATTATTGTGTTGTGGTCTATTTGACTCTGGAACTTGTGAAGAGTTAGTTTGATGAAAGCAGATGCTCCATTGTTTGGGGCATATATATTTATAATTGTTATGTCTTTTGGTGTATGTTTTTCCTGAAATGTCCTTCTTTATCCCTTTTGATTAACTTCAGCTTCAAGTATACTTTATTTGATATGAGGATGGAAACCCCTGCTTGTTCCCACAGTCCATGTGAGTGGTACGATTTTTCCCAAACTTTCACCTTAAGTCGATGGATGTCTTTTCCTATGAGATGAGTCTCTTGGAGACAGCATATTGTTGGGTCTTTATTTAAAATCCAATCTGCCAGTTTATGTCTTTTAATTGGTGAGTTTAGGCTATTAACATTCAGGGTTATTGTTGAGATATGATTTGTATTCCTAGCAATTTTTGTTTATTTTTGGTATTTAATTTGACTTGGTTTCTCCTTTGATTAGTTTTTTCTTTAGTGCAATACCTCCCTTTGCTGATTTTCATTGTTGTTTTTCATTTCCTCCTCTAGAATATTTTGCTGAGGATGTTCTGTAGTGCAGGCTTTGTAAAAAAAAAAAAGTTAAAATTCTCTTTTAACTTTTGTCAACTTGGAAGGTTTTTGTTGTTGTAGTTGGACACAATACCTATTTTTTTATTAATTTACTTTTATGTGGTGCTGAGGATTGAACCCAGGGCCTCAAATGTGCTAGGTGAGCACCGTTGAGCCACAACCCCAGCCCTGAAAGGTTTTTATTTCATCATTAACTCTAAAGCTTAATTTTGCTGGATATAAGATTCTTGCTTGGGAATAGACAATATGATTGATGTATGTACATTCCATGTATGTATTATATATCAAAGTGCATTCTACTGTCATGTATGACTAAAAATAAATAAATAAATAAATAAATAAAAAGATTCTTGCTTGGCATCCATTTTCTTTCTGGGCTTGGTATATGTTGTTCCAGGATCTTTTAGCCTTCAAAGTCTGGGTTGAACAATCTGCAGATAACCCAATTAGTTTCCCCCATATGTAATCTGATTCCTTTCTCTCGTAGTTTTTAAATTTTTCTCCTTATTCTGTATGCTAGGCATTTTCATTATAATGTGCCTTGTGTGGATCTTGTGATTTTGTACATTTGGCATCCTGTAAGCTTCTTATATTTGGCTTTCCAATTCATTCTTCATGTTTGGAAAATTTTCTGATATTATTTCATTGAATAGATTGTTCATTCCTTTGGTTTGGAACTCTATGCCTTCCTCTATACCAATAACTCTTAAATTTGGTCTTTTTATGCTATCCCATATATCTTGAATGTTCTCCTCATGGCTTCTTACCATCGTTACTGTGTGGTCTACATTCTTTGCAAGATTATATATTTTGTCTTCATTGTCTGAGGTTCTGTCTTCCAAGTGGTCTAATCTGTTGGTGATACTTTCAATTGAACTTTTAATTTGGTTCTTTCTTTCTTTCTTTCTTTCTCTCTCTCTCTCTCTCTCTCTTCTCTCTCTCTCTCTCTCTTTCTTTCTTTCTTTTTTTGTTTGTTTCTTTCATTTCAAGGATTTCTGTTTGGCTTTTTTTCCCCAGAATCTGTATCTCCCCACTGAAGTAATCTTTTGTTTCCTGTATTTGCTTATGTAGCTCTTTATCTAAATGATCTTTTGCTACCTATATTTGCTGTCTTATATCATCCTTTAATTCACAGAACATTTTAATTATGTACATCCTGAGCTCCTTCTCTGTCATTTGTTCTCCTGTGCTGGCCATGGACTCTAATAATGTAGCATCTTGGTTTGTTTGGGGCACTTTCTTTTCTTGTTTTTTCGTTTGTGTGTCTTC